TGGCTTTGGGTGGAGTGTTGGTGTAGATGAGGAGGCGGGTTTCATCTGGTGGCTTTGGGTGGAGTGTTGGTGTAGATGAGGAGGCGGGTTTCATCTGGTGGCTTTGGGTGGAGTGTTGGTGTAGATGAGGAGGCGGGTTTCATCTGGTGGCTTTGGGTGGAGTGTTGGTGTAGATGAGGAGGCGGGTTTCATCTGGTGGCTTTGGGTGGAGTGTTGGTGTAGATGAGGAGGCGGGTTTCATCTGGTGGCTTTGGGTGGAGTGTTGGTGTAGATGAGGAGGCGGGTTTCATCTGGTGGCTTTGGGTGGAGTGTTGGTGTAGATGAGGAGGCGGGTTTTATTCTCGGTCCAAGTGATGCTTTGGGGTGGCGGTAGGGTCATCAGAAGAATGGCTCAGGTGAGGAAGGGGGGTACATCTCAGTGGGAGGTAGTGTTCACTTGTGATCAGCAGGTCACCCTTTCTGGTGCCCTCCTATCTGGGAGATGATGGCGGATGAATGGACAGTGATGTGGAGGTCTTTGTAGAAGTGAATATTGGGCTTCAGGAACGGCTGTGCTTATCTCATCTACAAAGTATTGTTCTTCAATGAATAGAGTCCCAGTCAGCCCTGGTCTGGAGATGTGAGGACGGGTTCTCCTCATCACAGCCTCAGATAGAGGTGTGACAGCAGACTGAGGGGAGTGCCGCGGTCTCACCACACAAATGCTGAGAAATAAACTTCATCAGAACAAGCAAACGTCTCTGCAATTGTCTGTGATGGTTGCTGCAGATCACCCGGGCTCTTTGCACTTCCTTACAAAATGAGACATCTATGGGTCCTGACCAGGACCAGGAACATTCTATGTCCCACCTTGTCCTGACCAGGAACATGCTATATCCCACCTTGTCCTGACCAGGACCAGGAACATGCTATATCCCACCTTGTCCTGACCAGGAACATGCTATATCCCACCTTGTCCTGACCAGGACCAGGAACATGCTATATCCCACCTTGTCCTGACCAGGAACATGCTATATCCCACCTTGTCCTGACCAGGAACATGCTATATCCCACCTTGTCCTGCCTTCCTCCTTCAGGATAGTTCTGTGGTGTTTGTTCTGCTGCAGGATGTAGATTTGAGTCCCTGATTAGATCCGAGCAGTCCCTATAAGGTGGTGGTTCTATAACAAGGACCCAATCACAGGGAAGTTTATTCTGAATTGCCGGTGTCCCTGCACAGTGAGATCATAGTGGAGGTTTTCTGTATACGATACACTGTGACAGGAAGGCTTTTACCCCAAGAACATGGCGCTCGGACTCCCTCTGCTGGCCATTCATGGTCACTGATATTCTGAGAAAATGGCTGGCTGCACGGGACAACAAAGGAATATCCCAATGATCCCTCCAGCGACAGCCGTGAGTCATTTCTATTTTCGCTGGATAGATCATATCAGTTCTTTCAGTTGAGTGGCAGAACATGGAAACGATCCATCTTTGGGGAGGATCGGGGTATCCATTGGTGGGAGACTCTGGGTATGGATTGCTGGAAGGATTGGAATTTCTAGGGTATCCATTCATGAACAATACATGGATATCCAATGGTGGACGGGATCTGGGGTATCCAATGGTGGAGAGGATCTGGGGTATCCAATGGTGGAGAGGATCTGGGGTATCCAATGGTGGAGAGGATCTGGGGTATCCAATGGTGGAGAGGATCTGGGGTATCCAATGGTGGAGAGGATCTGGGGTATCCA